AAGAATTTCCTCTTTATTCTCCAAACAGCCTTATATATCAAAACATAAGGAGTAAATATATTCCAGGTGCACAGTAAAGTTTAAGGTGTGACCACATAGAGACTCTTTTACAAAGTACATGTGACCATGAGGGTGGGTTCTATAGCTAAAAGGCCTAGAACCCAGTGTGGTCTCTGACCAATGGCACGGAGGTTAGCAGGCCATAAAGTACGTGTGACATCTTCTCTAAGGATGGGTAAGGGCTAGGGAGGAAAGAGCCTGGAATTTGAGTGAGGTCTAGGGAATTTGGGTGAAGTCTGCCACTATAGCAAAAGATGGGTGAGGTCTGCCTCCACAGATAGCAAAATGGTCACCAGATTGTTAACAAAATCTACTCTCAGCTTTATGGATGGAATGCAGGTATTTGATTCCTCCATGGAGTAGACACCACTTAGTGATTAACATTCCTGGTTCTCTTAGTGCTTCTCTGTGAGTGCAAGGACTTCTGTGTCCCCAACATAAGTGTATGCCTAGAGATAGTATACTTCTTACTATAATCCTCAAAATCAAACTGTTGAAGCTGGGCAGCGGTGGCACACGCCTTTAATCCCAGCACCTGGGGAGGCAGAGGTAGGTGGATCTCTGTGAGTTCGAGGCCAGCCTGGTCTACAGAGTGAGTTTCAGGACACAGCCAAGGCTGCACAGAAAAACCCTGTCTCGAACCTACCGCAAAAACAAAACAAAACAAAAAACCATACCCACAAAAGGCTGCAATTGGACATGTCTGTATGTATGAGAATGTAATATTGGAAAAATAGTCAGTCAAATTACAGTAATATTGAAAAAACTAAATTGTGCAATGTAACACACAGCCCAAGAATTATATATTATATAATACAAAGCAAGTTATTAAACAGAGCTATGGTAAACTACTTTTTGTAACACAGTTAAAGATGAAAGGATAAAAAGAAATAATATGTAGAATTCAGCATGAGGCAATCAGAAAAAAATCTTACTTTGGGCTGGAGAGATGGTTCAACAGTTAAAAGCATTGCTTGCTCTTCAGAGGACCCAGGTTTGACTCCCAGCATCAACACGGCAGTTTACAACTGTCTTCTTCAGAGTCAATGCCCTCTTCTGGCCTCCATAGGTATCAGGCATGAATTCAGTGCACAGATGTACTTGTAGGCAAAACACCCGTCCACATACAATAAGCAAAAAAACTTTTTTCAAGACAGGCTTTGTGTAGCCTTGGCTGTCCCAGAACTTATTCTATAGACCAGACTGGCCTCAAACTCATAGAGATTCGCCTGCCTCTGAGTGCTGGGATTAAAGGCATGTGCCACACTACCTGGCTAGAAAATTAAAACAAATATTACTCATCTTATCATTCCTACAAATACAGTGAAATAAAAGATCACAACAGTTATCTTTAGGTTAGAGAAAAAAGATTTTTCACTTTCTTTTGTACTTTCTCACTAAATATATATTTCTTTTGTAATGAGTTAAAATAGCTTTAAAAACGTGTTCTACCTACTAGGAAATAGGTGGCATACACTGAGTTCCTGACAGTGCACACCTATGATCCTGGCACTCAGAAGGTGGAGGCAGGAGAATCAGTAAGTTCAAGGTTGGCCTTGGCTCCAAGAGACCTTGTCTCAAAAAATCTTTTTTTTTTAAATAGGAGGGGAATTCACTGGAAAGGAGGAGTTAGGGGAGTAATTGTAATGATCTGCTGGCCTGGCCTGTCACCTGGGTATTCTGTCCCTTTAAGAGACAAGCCCATCTCTCCCCCCTCCCCTCCCCTTCTGCCAGGTGGATATCCTGCCTCCTCCATCCTGTGCACTCCCTCTTTCTCTCTCCCTCCTGAACTGGTAACTTCTCTGTCTCTCTCTCCCCTTTTCTCCCCTTCCCCTGTGCCTCTCTTTCTCTTCTTCCCCTTTCTCCCCTTTCCCCTTCCCCTCCATAACCCACTAAATAAACTCTATACCCAAACACTCTCTCTGTATGATGTATCTGCCTGCCTCTCACCTGCTGTCCACCCACCAAGGTGACCTGCCAAGGCCGTGGGTCACCTGTCACTACTCCTTGTGGGATGGGCTGCCCTTTGTAGTACTGCTGCCCCTTGTGGGATCAGCCTTCCCCCTTATATCTTTAAAAAAGAATAACAATAATATTAGATAATAAGAAGGGGATATGATCAGAGTCCATTATATATATGCATATGTGTATTTATGTAAAAAATTGTGAAAAAATAAATAAAAATTTTAGAAGAAAGTTCAAGGTTATCTTTAGCTATTAGCAAGTTTGAGGCCAGCCTGGGCAACATGAGTCCCTGTCTCAAAACAAAAATAAAGAGAACTTTAACATAACCAATTTATCCACAATTTGCTTCTGCTTCAAAAAAAGTCCATGGTGGTAAAAAGGGCTTAATTAGATAACTTTCTAAAATTATTCCTCAAATGTGATGTTTGGAATTGTGAGGAAGTGTGCCTGTCTAGGGAACAAGGCAGGAAAATATGACCATATTATTAAATGTACTTTATGATGTCATTAGAGTATGGCAATTTGAAGAGGTTACAGAGATGGCTCTTGGGTAAGAGCACTTGTTCTTGCAGAGGGTCTGGGTTCAGTTCCCAACATACACATGGTGACTCACAACCATCTGAAGCTCAAGTCCAGGGGTTCTAATGTTCTATTCTGACCTCTGTTGGCACTAGGCACACACACATGAGTTGTACATACAAACATGAAAGCAAAACACTCAGACATGCTGGGCAGTGGTGACGCACACCTTTAATCCCAGCACTCAGGAGGTAGAGGCAGGCAGATCTCTGAGTTCATGCCAGTCTGATCTACAAAGTGAGTTCTAGGACAGCAAGGACTACACACAGAGAAACCCTGTCTTGTAAAAAAAAACCCACTCAGACACATAGATAAAACAATAAATCTTCAAAAAATATATTTAAAGAAATTTCATATTCACGGTTGCTGATGAATAATTTGCAGACAGTCTCTGGATTTGAGTACCAGTACTGTCAAACATTTCACCTTGTTAGTTGTGTTACCTTACAATTAAAACATACTAATTATGAATATGTTAATAGCACTAGCTGAGCAGAAAAAAAGAGAAAATGATGACCATATTATACTTTTTCTTTACTAACATAGCTTAAACTCTTTGCATGAATCCTGGAAAAAGTAGCATACGTTGCCCAAAACTTTGAAGATGCATTTTCCTGTTGGCATGAAATATGAATGCTTGTTTACACATATGGAAAAGAAGAAAGTAACCAGAGAGACCAGTCAGATGTAATTAGAGCTTCTTAATAAAAACATTAGGACTACAGGAAGTTCTCCTTTCTGTGTATCTCCTTTAATCCTCTTTCCCCAGTACACAAACCCATCACTCCCCCTTGGCTCCTCTTAGTGCAGAGGGATGCAATGTAATTTCTTGTCAATGAGATGCCATTATCTTCTTAGTTATGATGTGAGCTGTCCCAATAGAAGACAGCCTAACAACAGGATACAGCCAGAAGACATGAGCAATAGTTTCTAGATGAAAGTCAGAAACTAATACTCTCAGTGAGTTGTGAAAGGAACAGACAAGTGCAGGAAGAAATATGAGGGAACTCAGGACTCAACCAAAGCCTAGGGCCTAAAACACAATATTAAAAGAATTTTGTGTGGACATGGTGGACATGGTGGCTCACACCTATAATTCCAGCACTTAGAAGGTACAGGGAAAAAGATCATGAGTTATGGCCAACCTCTGTAACAGGATGAATTCAAGATTAGCTTGGCTATGAAACCTTGCCTTAACACAAGCATGTGTGTGCACACACACGCATACACGCACACACACACATACACACACGCACACGTGTGATGTGTTACATGCATTCACACTTATACACAGACAATAAATGCAATAAAATGTTTTTTTAAAAAAATTACATGAGGGCCAGAAAATCCTTCTCTGGGGTTTATTTCAACATGACATCTCTTACTGACCAGCACCAGCAACAGGAACTGACGACAGAATGCCACTGAACTGTGCTTCCTGTGAGGTGTCAGGGAGCTACACTCACCCAAGGGACCTTAGCCTGTTATCTCTTCTGCATTTGTATTTCAAAATTTCTGGGAATTCTGAAGGACAGTGCCAATGCTTTCAATAATCAATATTTTCTGGAACCTCCTTATATCAGACAGGCTCCCACATTTCATTAGGAACAAAGTTTCAAAGTCACAATAGTCCTAAAAAATCCTAAAAAATCAATATTCTCTTATGACAAGTCATTTTTAAAAAAGACAATTGGAATATCTATTCAGTGGCTGGAGTGATGGCTCAGTGATTACGAATACTGACTGCTCTTTCAGAGAAACATGGATTCAATTCCCAACACCTATATGGCAGTTCACAATGGTCTTCAGCCTCTGCAGGAACCAGACACACTTGTGGTATACAGACATACATACAGGTAAAACACTCACACAAATAAAAATAAATACAAATTTAAAACTTTCTTTAAAAATATTCAAACAGCATGTTCTTAGCCAGCACACCCTACCTGGTTGTCTACAAGCCCTTTGTTAAATGGAATTTTTGCCTCCAACCACATGACAAACCACATTGCCAGCTGCAGGTTAGCTGACCTGGATCTGGAAAGTCTCCTAAACCACAAACTGAACTCTCTTGACTGAATTAGCCATGCCAGCAGGGATGCAGCAAGCACCCAGTGCTTGATGTTCAGGGTTTTCAGAAGATCTTGGCTTGGCTTTGCTCTTTGAAGACTTTGTTTCTTTGGGGCTAATTATGTGACAGATTTCAAGAAGCAGTGTTTATTACCTGCTTGCCAGCCTGAAAATCAGCCTTTAATTCATAAGCAAACTCTGGAGGGAGATAAATGCTGAGCTGCATTCTGATACCACTTGTGCTGCTGCTGAAACTGGTTAAAGAAAAACTGCAGAAGTCAACAAAACAGATGAAATCCAAGAAGGAAAGCATGAGTATATGAAAATTCAAAATCAAGCTTCATTTTATTTCCTAGGATTAAACGTTTCTGTGTAACGACAGGTCTATTGTTTAACAGAACACAGAGCAATGTCAAAAAACAGAGTGGCTCATGACAGGCAGGAGACAGAACGCTTAACTGGGAATTCTCACTGTCTGAACCCACCCAGCACGTTCATGGCAAAAATTAGTCATGGTGCCAGGTGTGGCACATGCCTTTAATTCCAGCATTCAGGAGGCAGAAGCAGATCGATGTCTGAGTTTGAGGCCAGCCTGGTCTATAGAATGAGTTTCAGCACAGTCAGCACTACAAAGAGAAACCCTGTCTTGAACCAAAAGATGAGAATGAAACGATGTGTGTGTCTGTGTGTGCATATGCTTGAACTTGCTACACTTGGTGTAGACGTCAGAGAACAACTTTCACAAATTGATTCACTCTTTTCACCATGTGGTTCCTGAGCATTGAACTAGATGACTTCTTACCATTTGACAAGGATGGTAGTGGAACTAAAACAACAAAGGAGTGGGGAGCTGTCATGAAGTCTTACGCAGAATCCCACAAAAACAAAGTTAGAGGACATGATTAATGAAGCAGATGTCGATGGTAACGGCACAGTCCATCAATGGTAAGAGAAATAAAAGACAGTTTGTTGGAGGAGGTTTAGAGAAGCACTCAGCTTGATAAGGCTGGCAATGGCTGTATGGCTGCAGCAGAGCTTTGCTGTGTGCTGACAAATCCTGGAGAGCAGTGAACAGATGAGAGCCTGGTGAAGAGATCAGGGAAGCAGAATGAAAAATAATGTCCACTCGGTTTTGAAATTTATTTTCTGTGCCCTATGCCCTCCAGCTTACTTGGCAACCCATGCAGTGACCCATTTCGACACAGGGGCCAGGCATAGCTCTCGCTGATGCAAAGATACAATGGGCTACACGCTTCCTCTACTCCTCTTTCAGGGCTGGAGTCAGCTGAGAGTGTCCACCTAGTCTCAGAAACATCAAAAATATCTCCCCCGTGATCCCACTCCCATTTGTCCGCCTCTTCCGCCCTTTCCCTGAAAAGTAGGACGGGGGAGGGCTCTACACGGAGTTCACCAATGAGAACGTGCAGAGGGTTCCATACTTCCGTGTGTGCACCCCCGCGAAGGTCCGTTTCCTGCGGAGAGAACTAGAGAGACATCAGTTCCTGCAGAGCCGAGAGCCTACGGCGGAACCTGTTCGCACGCTCTTCTGCACCGGAAGGTGAGCCCTGCGCACTCACCCTCGCGTCTGAGGCACCGTGGGGAGTGCGCCCGAAACTGGGAGTGGTGGGTGCTTCAGTGGACCTGGATACCTTTATTTCTCTGCTTCCACCTGTTGTCATGCTTTTCTAGAAACCAAGCTGTCTGCCATCTCTGAGCATGGGTCTAACTCCTTTCATTCAAGGAATACCGTGGGCAACAAGTATTGGGTGTAGACTGTATTTAACATTTTCTGAGTCTATCTAGTAAATCTCAAAGCTGTTTTTGTGTGTATCACTTGCTGGTGATTCCACCCAATGGGGCAGGCTTCCAGTCAATGTATTTCAAAGTCATTTTCCCTTTTATTGTGCAAGTGAGGTTTATACAGAAATGGAGCGCTTTAATCCTTTTTGTGCCTTACTCCTTTTCCTCATAATAGTCTTAAACTCCTAACATGGATTATGAAACTTTGCTGGTCAGTCATTTACTCATTTCTTTCAGTTTTCATTTCCTGCTCAACTGTTTTCTCCAGTTACTGAAGTGTTTTATTGTTTTGTGGTCAATGAACTCTTCCATGTTTGACATTTGCTCTACCACCAAACAACACCTTCAGCCCAGTGACCGAACTTTTGATTCCACGTGTCCAATGCTGTCTTTCTACCTCTTGCCAGAAACAGTTTTTCCATGTCTGGTTATCACCTAATCATCCCTGAATTTCAGCCTGGAAGTCATTTCCTCTAGAACAGCGGATATCAACTTTCCTGATGCTGCAACCCTTCAATTCAGTTTCTCATAGTGTGGTTGCCCCAACCATAAAATTATTTCATTGTTACTTCATAACTGTAAATTTGCAATGATTATGAATCATAATATAAATATCTGATATGCAGAATATCTGATATACGACCCCCATGAAAGGGTCTTTCAACCCGTAGAGGGGTCTCGACCCACAAGTTGAGAAACATTGCTCTAGGAAGTTCTCCAGGCTTATTCCTGCCCCTGTCTTCCCAGCTGTCTATATTTTAAACTCCACGAGGGCAGGAGCTGTCTCTAATCTGGTCATGCTTGTACACTCTCAACATAGTAGCTGGCACACAACTCTCAGTTACCATCAGTTAATGAATGAGGCAGAGAAGAGGCATTTAGAGTCCTTTTAACTCATTTACAGCCCATCATAAAGCTTGTGCAAAGGTGAAAGTCATCTCTATTGAAGCCTTTCCTCCTTGCTGCATTCTGTGGGGGTACTGAAGCAGATGATTCTGGGGAACAGTCTGGGCAAACACACTTCACATTAGGATATTGCTGACTGAGTAACTTCATACCCCACAGACTCACCTATTGCCCAGCCTTCATGTGCCTTGTGCTACAACTACACTGAACTCTCAGTCCTGTGTGTCAATCTTGCATGTACTTGGATTCCCTTCAAAGTGTTTGATATTATTCTTCTAGAAGAAAGAAGAAAGGCTGGTTCTTTTGAGGTAGATCAGAAATGGAGTCTTCAAAAAAAATGGCTATTTCATATAATTTGCATTCCACTAGCAGACACCACTGAGCTTAGATACCTTTATCTCAGTTCTGCTCAAATCATTTTGCAGACCCTCTCTCTGCCAAGCTTCCGACTGGGGGTGGAGGTCCTATGGTAAATAAAGTTCAGTATTTGACTTTAAAAAACTTAGTCTCTAAGGGAGACAGGCATATAAGCAGGCCACAGAGTGCAGCTTGGACTATATTGTTTATGAGCAGGAAGATGTGTATAGTCATATCTGTATGTTAACCTTGTCTGTGTTGATATTCTAGGTTCCTCAAGATGTCAGCAGCCCCACAAGGCCATAACTGGACCCGACAGCTGAAGAAAGAAGACGAGGAAGAAGACCCACTGGACCAGCTGATCACCCGCTCTGGCTGTGCTTCCTTCCACTTTGCAGTGCAGGAGTGCATGGCCCAACACCAGGACTGGCGTCAGTGCCAGCCACAAGTGCAGGCATTCAAGGATTGCATGAGTGCACAGCAGGCAAGACGGCGCGAGGAACTGCAGAGGAGGAAAGAGCAAGCCAGTGCTCAACACTGAGACCCTAAACCATCATCCCACAGACTGACCTTGAAGAAATAAGCACCCAGAGCGACCCTGGGAAGAAGAAATCCTAAGTAGTAGAGTGTGCAATAGGAGATAAATAATTTGGACCGTCTTTGGCACTAGGGTTGAAAGCACCATGAGCTGTTTTTACTCTATGATCAGATCAGACACATCTTCACTTTTCCTGTTCCACCCATACTTGTATTTAAAATTGGGATATGGACCACCCCCTCCATCCTACCTCTTGAGTGTGCCAAGTACTTTGTAAGTAAATTCACAACCTAAAGGTAAATTGGTTGCTCAATCAGGCCTTTGTTTTTCAGTCACAACTCTAACAACAGCAAGTGTTTCTAAGGCATTGTGTTAGTGATGTGCAATTTGAAGAGTTATGTGACCTTCCTGTTGCTTAGAGACTAGTGCAAGAGGCAGAAATAGCTGTTTAAGCGACGTTCAAATAGCAAACTCAGTTTCCAACAGTGACAGAAGAGCCTTTATCTTTTCTGGGTGTTTTATATTCAGTTTAATGGGGGTCAGGAGCTAATAGAGAAACATTTTTTAAAAGACGGATTCTATGTAGTCCAGACTGACCTTGAACTTTCTGTATAGCCAAGGATCACCTTAAACTCGTGATCCTCCTGCCTCCACCCCACATACTAAGATTACAGGTACGTGCTACCACACCTATTGAGGAAACATATTCAGCTGAGTACTTGTTGTATGCCAGGCTCTGTGTAACAGATTCAGAGCCTGCCCCTATCCTACCAACACACAAAGCTTATCTGACATTTTGGAAGTATGTTTGACATTAAAGTACAGACTTTGACCTTTGGAAAAATGGAACCACTATCAACATAGAGCTTATGTTCCTACTTGACAACAGTTTGACAGAGCTGATAATGCCTTCTCTGGGGTGCTGTTTCCTGTTTACAACATCAGCAGTTGTTCATTTTTATTCAGTGAAACCACGAAATCTGTTTCTGCATGCCCCTGGAAGTTATTGGAAATGGGAAAGGGTTTGGAAGGTGAGTCTGCCACAGAAGCTTGTTTTTTTTTTTTTTAAAAAAATCATTATTAACAAACATCTCTCAGGCATCTATATGTAAGCGGTCCAAGTCTGGTAGACCCCAACACCTACTTGAGCCTTGTGTGCAGAAATGTTAGGGAAGACAGACAGAAAGTAGAGAAGTTTAGTGAAGAGTAAAAGCCCTGTTTCAAGTTGAAGACCAAGTGAGTAGATAGAGCTGCATCTCTGCTGGTCCACTCTTGCTTTGAGTTGAGTCAGCAGTGGGGCGGGTAGTGTGCATTGGGGTATCGGCACAAATCTCAGAGATGGTGCACGCCTTTAATCCCTGTACTCAAGGCAGAGGGAGGTGGTTCTCTGATTTTTAGATCAGCCCCAGGACAGCTATAGCTACATAGTGAGATTCTGTCAAAAATAAATAAATAAAAAAAAATCCCAGAGGTAAAAAGAGGGACTTTTAAAATTGAAGTACACATTACTTATTTGTAATGTTGGAAGAATTACCATCTGGAACAAATGCAAAGTACATCAAGGTCAGTAAGAAAAGACAAGAAGAAAGTAAACACTGGCTGGACTGAGGCCCATTCCTACTTATATCCCAGCATTTAGGAGGCTGAGGCAGAAAAATCACTCATAAGTTTGAGGCCAGCCTGGGCTACATAGTAAGTTTTAGTCTAGCCTAACCAATAAAATGAGATTATTTAAAAAAGAAGAATATGCTTGAGATCATAGGAAAATATAAATAGGTGCTCTATTACAGACAATCAAAAAAAAAAAAACCCACACTCTTTTAACATAAAATGTTAGTTGATCCTGCTGGCAAATGAAGTGACCAGTATTCGTGGAGAAAGGAACAGAGTCATTCTTGTGAGGAGAGCACTAACTTTTTGGAGGACAATTTGGTGGACTCTAAACTATTTAAATATACAAAGCTGGCTGCAGTGACACATGCCTATAATTGCAGCAAGGCTGAAACAGGAGGACTGTAGCCAGTCTGGGCTACACTGAGTTTCAGGACAGCCATAGCTACAGTGTGAGGACCTATCTCAAGAAAAAAACTAAATATAAAAAACCCAAAATATACAAACCCGTTTCATAAGAGCCTCTACTGAATACGTGTTATAAGATGCATGTGCTGTGTGTCCTGCAGTATGCAGCACAGTCATAGGGTAAATTCCCATCAGTAAGGACACAGTTGCTCTGTATTCCAATCTGTAATGGGAATGTGTCCTAATAAACTCTCACTATAAGTGGAAATGCATTTAGTTAAACAATGTACCATGAAGGAAGCGGAAAATCTCCTGAATGAGAGAGTACAGAGGGAGGGTGAGAGAGTAGGAGGAAGGGGATAAACTGGAAGCTTGGTTGCCAGGCGGTGATGGCGCACGCCTTTAATCTCAGCACTTAGGGAGGCAGAGGCAGGAGGATCTCTATGAGTTTGAGGCCAGCCTGGTTTACAGAGTGAGTTCCAGGACAGGTTCCAAAGCTATACATAGAAACCTTGTCTCAAAACAAAACAAAAAAATCAAAAAAATTGAAGTATAGTACAGGCATATGTGGACATATTTTAAGAAAATCCTTTACAATTACAGCAATTAAGCATCGGCATTTTTATGTTTTTTTTTTTTTCAGTTAAAGAAACATCTAGGCATGAAAGAGGAAACTCACAGGTTAGAGGCCAGCCTGGGTAGTATAGCAAGTAACTAAAGGCAGGGATTGCCTCAGTGGAAGAAAGCACAACCTGACAAGGACAAAACCCTGTTTGTTCCCCAGCA